GTCGCAAGTTTTGAGGGAGCGTGCAATTGGCATGCTGACTGCAGGAATTTCCACCAGAGCTGTTGCCCATGAATTGACGAATTGTGAATTGAATGTTCATTTGGCAGTACATCCAACCGGCCTCACAACCGCAGACCACGTGTAACCACACCAGCCCAGGACCTCCACATCCAGCATCTTCACCTCCAAGATCGTCTGAGACCAGCCACCAAGACAGCTGCTGCAACAATCGGTTTGCATAACCAAAGAATTTCTGCACAAACTGTCAGAAACCGTCTCAGGGAAGCTCATCTGCATGCTCGTCGTCCTCATCGGGGTCTCAACCTGACTGCAGTTCGTTGTCGTAACCGACTTGAGTGGGCAAATACTCACATTCGATGCCGTCTGGCACTTTGGAGAGGTGTTCTCTTCACGGATGAATCCCGGTTTTCACTGTACAGGGCAGATGGCAGACAGCGTGTATGGCATCGTGTGGGTGAGCGGTTTGCTGATGTCAACGTTGTGGATCAAGTGGCCCATGGTGGCAGTGGGGTTATGGTATGGGCAGGCGTATGTTATGGACAACGAACACAGGTGCATTTTATTGATGGCATTTTTAATGCACAGAGATACCGTGACGAGATCCTGAGGCCCATTGTTGTGCCATTCTTCCACGACCTCATGTTGCAGCATGATAATGCAAGGCCCCATGTTGCAAGGATCTGTACACAATTCCTGAAAGCTGAAAACATCCCAGTTCTTGCATGGCCAGCATACTCACCGGACATGTCACCCATTGAGCATGTTTGGGATGCTCTGGATCAGTGTATACGACAGCGTGTTCCAGTTCCTGCCAATATCCAGCAACTTCGCACAGCCATTGAAGAGGAGTGGACCAACATTCCACAGGCTACAATCAATAACCTGATCAACTCTATGCGAAGGAGATGTGTTACACTGTGTGAGGCAAATGGTAGTCTGTCACGGAATGCCAGGAGAAAACAAGGATAGATCCAAGTGCAATTTATTAAAGTATAAAATAAACAGAACAGAACAGAAACGTGGCAAAAGGTAATCCAAAACACAGGGAACAGAGAACACGATGTAACCTTAACAACATCAAACACAAACATCAGATATCAAATACTGCAATAATACTGCAGCCAAGACAGACAGAGTGAGCATGGTATATGTAGTGATGGGATGATGAGTAAATGACTAACAGGTGATCATGATCAGAACAGAACGACAGGCAAGGGACTATGGGAAATGGAGTTCAACACATGTAACACAGAAACGGGAGAGCACCCTCAAGTGGCCAGTCCAGGGCACCACAACCAGACACTGTGACATTACCCCCCCTCTACGGAGCGGATACCATACGCTCAACCAGAAAACATAAAAGTTCAGGAGGGAGATGGAACTGAGGCTGACCAGGGAGAGGGATGGCGGGCCAGGACCATGCAAAGGAAGGGGGTCAGGGGACAGAGGTAGACCAGGGTATGAGAGCGGAACCGGCAGGGTGGAAAGCCAAGGCGGGGCCAGCAGGAAGAACCAGCAAAGCCCCAACCATACAGGAAACCCAGCAGATAGTCAGGATGGAGCCGGAGGAGTGAGCCAGTGAGGCTCCTACCAAACCAGAACCAAGGCGGGCAACCACATCGGAGCCGGAATCCTGTCAAACAACACTGGTGGGACAGAAAACCCTCTCAGCAACTCTGGGAAAACTGAAAACAAGAGCAGAGAGAGTTTGGTACCAGCCTCAACGGCTGCAACAGGACAAGCCGATTGCTCCACAACGGTCCCTGTGAGCTCCCGGACTGGAGTGACTTCCTTAAAGAGCACTGAGAGCTCCCGAACTGGAGCAGGCTCTGAAGTGGACTCTGTGAGCTCCCGGACTGGAGTGACTTCCTTAAAGAGCACTGAGAGCTCCCGAACTGGAGCAGGCTCTGAAGCGGACTCTGTGAGCTCCCGGCCTGGAGTGACTTCCTTGATGAGCTCTGTGGGCTCCCAGACTGGAGCGGGCTCTGAAGTGGACTCTATGAGCTCCCGGACTGGAGTGACTTCCTTAACCCTTTGACGCGTACGATCACACCGGTGTGATCAGTCTTGGCTGGTCCCTGAAGCGTACGATCACACCGGTGTGATTAGAACTTTCAGTGCGTCACGTCATCAACTGCTGAATTTAAATCCGCTTTCGCGCGGAGCCAGATCGGACGCGCTGAGCGCGTGTCATATTATGACAAATATTCATTGTTTTCAACCATATAATACTTATTTTAGGGTTCAGACATTTAAATACACATAAGTACTAGCAAAACCATACATTTACAGTTTGTAAAATGCATGCTGATGTCTATGGAAACGGCAATAATGATCCTTACAAATATAATCTGACATGTTTTTATTGATATCATATACAGATTGTGTAGGTAACTATAAAGTTTACTCTGCTCTTCTCCCAGTTTACCGGAGACCTACTTTAACGTGTTTCGGGAGGAGAGGATGAATTTGCGTGTTGTAAATCCCTCTGTGAGCTCCCGGACTGGAGTGACTCCCTTAATGAGCTCTGTGGGCTCCCGGACTGGAGTGGGCTCTGGAGTGGGCTCTGTGAGCTCCCGGACTGGAGCGGGCTCTGAAGTGGGCTTTACTGTCCTCCTTTTCGCCCTCCGCCGCTTAGTGGGAGTCTGAAGGATAGAGGTGGTGGGAAAATCCCTGCGCAAGGGTTCTGATTGGCCTGGTATTGCCAACTGACTTCGACCCTGGAGATACTTGACGAAGCCCCAGAAGTCTAGGATCTCGAGTCCTTCCACCTCCCACTGGGGCAAAGGATTATCCAGACAGATGTTAAGGAGGTCCTTAAGTGCAGCCTCATTATAATTCAGCCCCACCGCCAATGTCCAAAAGGTCTGGACAAAACCACCAACCTCCATTCCTTGCTGTCTCCGAGCCATAAGAGTCCGGTATCGAGCCATTCGCTCCTTCCCTGTGGCAGGAGGGACAATCCGAATGTCCATAGTTCAAAAAAAGGGAAAAATAAAAACAAACTGCTGGATCTTGTAGTGGCTGCAGTATTCTGTCACGGAATGCCAGGAGAAAACAAAGATAGATCCAAGTGCAGTTTATTAAAGTATGAAATAAACGGAACAGAAGAGAAACGTGGCAAAAGGTAATCCAAAACACAGGGAACAGAGAACACGATGTAACCTTAACAACATCAAACATCAGATATCAAATAATACTGCAGCCAAGCCAGACAGAGTGAGCATGGTATATGTAGTGATGGGATGATGAGTAAATTACTAACAGATGATCATGACCAGAACAGAACGACAGGCAAGGGACTATGGGAAATGGAGTTCAACACATGTAACACAGAAACGGGAGAGCGCCCTCAAGTGGCCAGTCCAGGGCACCACAACCAGGCACTGTGACATAGTCACACCAGATACTGACTGGTTTTCGGACCCCCCCAATTTTTGGGTGAACTGTCCCTTTAACAGCAAGTATCTTGAAATATATTACATTTCTTCTTGTTTAGAGGACAATTTAAGTGACACAGCTTATCCCCCCATGTATCTTCATTACTCCAAAGTTTTTCTTCCATCACCCCTTTTGGAACAGACCTTTTGTTGTCATGAGGATGAAACAAAACCTGACTGGCTGAATGCACTAATTGGTCGGATCTTTTGGGACTTCCTCCATGAGAAATACTGGGCTAATAAAGTCCAACAGAAGATTCAGCGAAAGCTGAGCAAAATTCGGGTAAGAGAACAGATAGGAATTACAGGATGTTCTTTAACTGGACTAAGTATGAGGAGGTAATGTTCTTTTAAATCTTCCTTAAGCATGGTTTCGAAAAGTAGAGTAAATAGCTTGCGATATTAATGTTCCTACCCAGTGTGCATATGTTTCTGTGTGAGTTTACCCTTTTTTTCCACAGTTGCCTTACTTCATGGATGAATTGTCCCTCACTGAACTGGCCATGGGCTCCAGCATGCCTCAGATAACAGGCACATCTCTACCACAGATCAACAGCAGAGGTGAGTGGGGCTCCTAAGAGCCTCTTATAAAAGAGTAGATTAGGTCATTCATCCATCAGGACTGTTTGAGCGTATGTGTTATTATGCTCCTGCACTGAACAGTAAATGAGATGTTATTATCCTTCTGTAATATCAGGGATCAAAGAAGCACACAACATCACATCATTGTCCTCTGAAAATAGCAGCATGTCTGTGAGCGTGAGCACGTGTCTGTTTACGCATTCAGCTGTATGATAAAATGCTCACTGTGAAGCATATGCAGGATGTATTTTCCCCATGAGAAGTGAAGTTAATATGGTGTGGGGCACATCATGTGTCTTTTACTCCCCGCCTCATGATCTGTGGGTGTTATGTAACACGTAATGGCTTTCAACAGAGTCTAGCTCCCTTGCTCAGGTCTCATCCCATTTATGGATTTGTAATGTGTCCTAGTAGACATGTGGACATTTTATTGTGCTATAAATATTTGACATTTCATCCAAATCAGATCATATCGCTTTAATTTTGACCGCTGACATATAGTGGTGCTATAGACATACACTTAAGAGTTTTTGATTTCACATTATTCATTATTAATTCATTATTAGTAAATATTAAAATAGTGAATGAATGTATGTGAGATTAGCTGAAAAAAATACAATATAACGTTAATAAGTATATATATATATATATATACAGAGAGAGAGAGAGAGTTATAACAAGAAATCATGCATTTTTCTGAATAGAATTTATTTAAATAAACATTACTGAAACATTACTGTTATTACTGAAAGTAAAAGTTGAACAACAGGAACAAAAGTTGAAACAACAACAGGAAACTTTGGCTTTTATTACATCATACAGGGGGGAAAAAAAACTTGTCTTTGTGTGTCAGGCCTTTGGTTGCATTTGGAGGTGGAGTACACAGGAGCGCTACAGATGACTCTAGAGACCAAAATCAACTTCTCCAAACTTGGGAAGGAGGGAGTCCCTGAGTCAGAGACAGAGTTGGAGACCATTCATTTGTTGTAAGTTTTTGGAGAATAAAATTTATTTTCTGAGACAAAACTGTGTCGTTATCTAGCATTTATCTTAACACAGCATAGCCTCTACAAAGTCTATTATGTAACCTATACTACAAAGGTTTGAAGTCAGTTTTTTAAAAGGCATTGCTAAAACATTAATAATAATATGAAATATGTCTTCAGCACCAAATCAGCATATCAGAATAATTTCTGAAAGATCATGTGACACTGAAGGGTAATGGCTGCTGAAAATTCAGATATGCTATCGCAGGAATAAATTACGTTTTAAAAATATATTTAAATAGAAAAGAGTTATTTCAAATAGTAATAATGTTTCACAATATTAATGTTTTTACTGTATTTTTGGTCAAATAAATACAGCCTTGGTGAGCATAAGAGACCTCTTTCAAAAACATTGCTTATATGCTTTTATCAGTTATAATGAAAAAGCGTGTATTTAATTAGAATTTGAAATTAAAACATTTTCACTGATTCACAATTCTGGAGCCCACTGTGCACTGCATTGTTGTTCCTTAGACTCAGTACAATCCTAGTGATGTTTGTGGGTGTATGTTTATGATATCTTGTTATGATGAGGTCCTGTCCGGATGTGTTCTGTAGTAGCAGGTCCAGGCTCTCTGTGCTGGCTGACAGTGATGAGGAATCCTCAAGTGCAGGATCCTCTGATGAGGAGGAAGTTTCATCTGCTGACACTCAAGGAACTCTGACTGAAAAGGCTCTACCTGGTGTTGAGGGGTAATTATTATTAACTGAATAATTTGTGTAATTCAACAAACAGTTTTTGTCTGGGATCTCAATTTCTGGGATGTTACAACTCTTTATTATTCGGAATGTATGCCAGAAATGCTGTTCTTTTAAATGAAACATCAAGATTTATGTGTCTTGCTGACACTACTTATGAGGTCCTCTATTATGTCCTTAAAAGGGATGGTTCACCCAAAAATGAAAATTCTGATGAAAATCATTTCTCACCCTCACGTCATTCCGTATGACTTTCTGTCTTCAATGCAAAACAAAATATATAGATATTTTGGACAATGTCCAAGCTGCTTCAGGAACAACCATGATCGCCATTTACTTTAAATATATGGAAAAGGGCAGCTTGGACATTTTGCTAAATACCTTGTTTGGTGTTCCAGCTAAGAAAGTGATACAGGTTTGGTGCAATGTGATTTTTGGGTGAATTATGCCTATGAAACATTCTCTCTTTGAGACCTTTGAAAATAAATGCAGCTTAAAATAAATCAAGGGCACCTGACGAACTTTGCATCCCACAGGGCTGCAGCTGGAGGCAGTACTAGTAGGCGGATCTTGAGATTTGTCGACAAGATTGCCAAGTCGAAGTATTTCCAGAAGGCCACGGAAAATGAGTACATTAAAAAAAAGATTGAAGAAATGTCTAACACCCCGCTGCTGCTTGCAGTGGAAGTTCAAGAGCTCTCTGGAACACTTCACGTCAACATTCCTCCTCCCCCCACCGACAGAATATGGTACGAGCCATTCTCACTCAGCTAAGCACACGCTGTTAATGTCACAGTACATTAGGGACCTTGCTTAAAGCTGCAGTCCGTAACTTTTTTTGTTTAAAAATGATCCGAAATCAATATTTTTTGGGTGAATTATGCCTATGAAACATTCTCTCTTTGAGACCTTTGAAAATAAATGCAGCTTAAAATAAATCAAGGGCACCTGACGAACTTTGCATCCCACAGGGCTGCAGCTGGAGGCAGTACTAGTAGGCGGATCTTGAGATTTGTCGACAAGATTGCCAAGTCGAAGTATTTCCAGAAGGCCATGGAAAATGAGTACATTAAAAAAAAGATTGAAGAAATGTCTAACACCCCGCTGCTGCTTGCAGTGGAAGTTCAAGAGCTCTCTGGAACACTTGACGTCAACATTCCTCCTCCCCCCACCGACAGAATATGGTACGAGCCATTCTCACTCAGCTAAGCACACGCTGTTAATGTCACAGTACATTAGGGACCTTGCTTAAAGCTGCAGTCCGTAACTTTTTTTGTTTAAAAATGATCCGAAATCAATATTTGAGCAAGTACATAACCAGCCAGTGTTCAAAACTATCGCCTTACTTTAGCCCGATTCACAAAGGTTATTTTATAGTAATGTTTTCTAATTTGAGTGGTACGGGTAGGTTTTCGTGGGAAATTTGAGCATGGCACTGCGTCATTACGTCACGTCTGTAAACATAAAGAAGTTGCTCCGGCTACTAGGCTATCGCATGTGAGGATCCTGCAGGTGGCCGATCGTTTATAGCCTTTTCTCACAGCAGCCATAAAATATAAAATATATATATATGTAAAATATAAAATATAATTAAATGTATAATTTTGATGGCGATTTGTAATTCATAAAGGATTATGTGTTTATGAAACACATGTGAATGAAATGAAATTATATTCCAGTTATAAATGTGCTTCTGATTACAGATAACCTGGGATTACAAAGATTTGTATTTTAAAGAAAACCAGTTCGAAGGGAGCATAATTTTTCTTTTTGGGTTAAAAGAATTTCTTAGTATGAAATTCAAAGAGTATGACAATTAGATTAGACTGTGCAGAAATGGAAATCTACACGCTAATACACACTATACTCATAGTCACGCAATGCTGATGTTGTTAACATCATTTGAGAATAAAGTATACCAATAACAATAATTTGAACGGTTTGATGTGATATGAGCTAACCGATCTTTAGATTTAATCACCATTGGTAGCGAGATTTATGGTAAGGCTTTTTTCCTCAATTGGTCAGAACAAACGTGGCAGACTTGTTTCTTACTTGTTCAGATGACAATATTCGGTGAAAATTCTTATTTGGGTCATATTCCAAGACGTAGGCTAGAATCTGTGAGTGCAAAGTGCAATATCCACACCGGTGCGGTGACTGACTGCCACACACATACTCCTCAAAACATTAGATTCATCTGCGCTGGAGTCGCGCCGACTCACAACCCACGCAAGCTAGATAATTCAGCACTCAGCTGCAATTCCAGGTTTTCAAACAGAGATGGCGACAAAGAGGCAAAATTTACAGACTGCAGTTTTAAGCTTACACAATGTCTGCAGAGATTATCTGGAGCAATCATGCTACTTAAAGTTTGGTGTCATTCACTCTTGAAGGTTTGACTTTGTTGTAATTAAATTTAAATTTGAGGGTAATGGATTAGAGACAAGTGTAACACTGGCTGCATTTACACTTGGCATTAACATGCGATCATTGTGATCCGATCAAGCAGATCGGATCATCAGTCATCAGGACATGGCGCGTTTACACTTGGCAACATCAAGTGACTTCTCTATTTGGATAACCGATTGGATCTCTCTTTCCCGCGCATTGGCATGCAATATTTAAAGGGATAGTTCACCTAAAAATGAAAATACTGTCATTAATTACTCACCCTCATGTCGTTTCAAACCCGTAAGACCTTTGTTCATCTTCGGAACACAAATTAAGATATTTTTGATGGAATCTGAGAGCTGTCTGACCCTGATAGACAGCAATACAACTGAAATGTTCCCAAGTCCAGAGACGTAGCAAGGAGATCTGTAAAATAATCTATGTGACATCAGGGGTTCAACCGTAATTTTACGAAGCTACGAGAATACTTTTTGTGCGCAAAAGAAAAAAAAAAGACTTTATTCAACAATTCGTCTCCTCCGCATCACCCTGTAGCGCCATTTTGGAGAGTATCAGCTGGACTAACCCTTTAAATAAGTCTTCAGGCAGTTCGGGAGAGAGGGGGTGGGTTTTTTTTGCGTGACGTCGACCTGCGACTGCAGACACGATGGCTAGATTACGTTTACATTACACTGGGATCCGATCACAATGCGTCCTCGACTACTTCTGGACCAGGACATGCTTATTGGATAACATTCCGATCAGAAGCGCATTTACACTAGTCTTTTCTGTAATGTGTATGTAGACAACATCGGTATACAGGTCGCATGTTAATGCCAAGTGTAAACCTGGTGTGATGTGATGAGTTCAGTGATGCAATCACAGCCAGTCAGAAGATATTTGATGTTTCAGGTGCAGTTATGAGGAGCAGAATTTTGGAGCAATGAAATTTCCCTCTGTTATGGAAATAGTATACTTTAAAAGAAATGTGGAATTTGTAAATTGGACTGTAGAGTTTTTAACTAAAGTAGGAGGACTTTACTACATCTTTATATGTAATTTTATAATTATTACTTCTGTTGTCTTTGAAATATGTTTAAAGTGTACTGTCAAGCATCTATGGCAAACTAATTAAAACTTGTTTGTTATTTATTTGATATTTGAAATTACACATGTGCAATGATAAAATTTATTGATGATGAAGCAATTTTGTACATTTAAAATATATTAACTTTAATGTAATATTGAATAAAATGGTACTGATAAAATTCTAATCAAGTACTTTACATGTGCTTTGAATCAACAAATCAAAATAAGTGCACTTTAAGGTGCACTTTAAGAGCGGGAAAGCGGCCGCTTTTTGCCTATAAATCATTATGTGCAATCAGGTTTGCAGATATGTCTTTGGATGCATGCCCCAGATTAAGTGTTTTGTCGGTTCTCTCTCAGGTATAGTTTCTGCGGGCCCCCGAAGCTTGATCTAAGAGTCAGACCCAAACTTGGAGAGCGAGAAGTGACTTTCTGCCATGTAACTGAATGGATTGAAAAGAAGCTACAGGATGAGTTCCAGGTTTGTTTTGATGATTTTGTGATGACTGGAGCTTCACTATAAATTGGCGTGCATGTTAACCATATGGCAGCTAATTTAATTGAATTGAATTGTTTATTTTAGTTAAATTATTTCATGTAAAATGTTTACATTAACCCCCATAACAAATCTTGTCCAATTATTTTTCCAGAAAGTTTTTGTTTTGCCCAACATGGATGACATTTACCTGCCGCTAATGCACTCTGGGATGGACAACACACCAGCTTTCCCACAATACCCTGCAAAGCTCTCCCAGCATTCCTCTATGACCTCCACTGACAGGTGTGATCTGGAACATTCTGCAGAACTACAGTAGTGCCTCCTTGTGGATAGACATGACAATAAACCAGTAACACCATTTAACTTCAACAAACTTCTAGTAGTGTAATTTACATTCAACTTCATTTAAACATTGCAGGACAGCAAAATGTCAGTAACTCCCACACATGTTCTCTCTAAATGAATTAGATATCTCCATACAATCAATACAAGGCACAGTGGGTAAGATTCCCATCATCCCGGAAACCCAAGTCTGTTATTCTTATCATACCAGTGGCTTAATGTGTGAATAAACCATTTTATTACTTTATTGTGTTTTTATGTCCTGAGGACAACTGATTATTTGTTGAACTTCCACAGTGGCTTAAATTAGACAAATAAGCATGAGTAATAATCAATAAATATCAAATAATAATGAATTTATTTAAGAATTCATATTTAGAATTAAATGCAACTCTTTTTGAAAAAAGTTGCACATAGATGATCCAGAAGTATTTGCATTTTACATCAGAAATTATTATCATTAGTATCAAAGACATTTTTTGTATGGTTTCACATTTTCTTGTCAAGTGTCACTTCAGGATTGTTATATCTGAACTTAAGCAGGCATTTGAATGTTACAGTATTTTTTCAGTATCTTTTTAATGCATTAGCATCAATGTCTCACTTTATTAACCTCTCAAAGCTGTAGAAGGAATGTGTAAAGAAAATCTTCACAATTTTGTTTATCATCATGCTTTTCTCTTTTCTCAGTAAATCTGTAATATTGTGTGTTGTGCTGCACTTAAAGGGATAGTTGACCCACAAACAAACTTTTGTCATCATTTACTTGTTCTCATGTTGTTCCAAACCTGTATGATTTTCTTTCTTCTGTTTTTTTTTTATATTTTTTTTAGTCCATACAGTGAAAGTCAGTGGGTGGTAGGGGTCCAGTTTCGACTTTCAATGTATGGACAGTTGAAACATTCTTCAAAATATTTTCTTTTATGTGTCACAGAAGAAAAAGTCATACAGGTTTGGAACAGCATGAAGGTGAGTAAAAAGATGCAAGTAATTTTCATTTTTGGGTGAACTATCCCTTTAAGATGACTATAAAAGTGGAAAGACACATTTAATAAAACCGCACACATAAAGGACTAACTTGAATGCTCTCTTTGAATTCTGAAAGGTATTTACGCTATATATATCTGACTCTTGAACTGCTGCTGTTAGTGTGACGGTGTCTGCTGCTGCTCGGACTGGCGGCATTAGCATCTGTCCAAGCACTGGTTCCCTCCCCTTCTTCAATTTCCATATCGCCAACCTCCAGGCTCTCACACATCAGGTTTATTTGCCTCCTTATTTGTGCCATCCGGCTCTGCATGCGCTGCATCTTCCTGCGCAGGTTGGCTGCGATGGCCCTCTGCCTCCGCCGCTCGGCTACATAGCGCTGCTGCAGCTCTCGGTAGCAGTTATGTTGGGCCTGATTTTCACGGACGAGCAGCGTGCCGCAGCCCATGGGACACAGCTGTCGCCAGTGGCTGCAGCTCTGATCATGCGCCTGCGAGTCCTTCCTCAGCACCTGCTGCCCACAGCCCTCATGGGGACAGAGTTGCCACTCATATGGACAGCTGGAGATGTGGAGGTACTCGTTAGAAATCCGGAAAGTGGCCCTGCAGCCCTGCTGCGCATTTCGACACTAAGAACACAGACACATGGAGTTGTTTCAAATTCACAGTTTAAGTACTAGAACTTTAACTATACTGTATATTAGACTTAAAGGGATAGTTCACCCAAACATTTAAATTTGATGTTCATCTGCTTACCCCCAGGGCATCCAAGATGTAGGTAACTTTGTTTCTTCAGTAGAACACAAAAGAAGATTTTTTAACTCAAACCGTTGCAGTCTGTCATTCATATAATGGAAGTGAATGGGAATCACGGCTTTGAGAGTAAAAAAAAAACATACACAAACAAAACCAAATTAAACCCTGCGGCTCGTGACGATACATTGATGTGTACAGACATGAAACGATCGGTCTGTGCAAGAAACTGAACAGTATTTATATCGTTTTTTTACCTCTGATTTACTGCAATGTCCGAACTGGGCGTTCTCAACAGCCGGCACGTGACGCGTCTTCTTCTTCTTCTTGCTCTACGGCGGATTGCAGACTTATAAGTGCATTACCGCCACCTATCTCTCAAATGGACCATTGACACTCCTAATTGAGATTGTAGATAGTGTCAATGGTCCATTTGAGAGATAGGTGGCGGTAATGCACTTATAAGTCTGCGATCCGCCGTAAAGCAAGAAGAAGAAGAAGACGTGTCATGCGCCGGCTGTTGAGAACACGCTCAGGACATTTCGGACATTGCGGTGAATCAGAGGTAAAAAACTATATAAATATTGTTCAGTTTCTTGCACAGACCGATCGTTTCGTGTCTTTACACATCAATGTATCGTCACGAGCCGCAGGGTTTAATTCGGTTTTGTTTGTTTTTTTGACTCTCAAAGCCGTGGTTCCTATTCACTTCCATTATATGACTGACAGACTGTAACGGTTTGAGTTAAAAATATTCGTTTGTGTTCTACTGAAGAAACAAAATCACCTACATCTTGGATGCCTTGGGGGTAAGCAGATAAACATCACATTTTCATTTTTGGGTGAACTATCCCTTTAATTAAAAAAAAAGTTACCTACCTTGATTGCCAAACGGCCAATAGATTTACTCAGCTTAAACAAAACCAGCATTTGGTTCTGGTCGATAGGCTGCCTACAACACGGGCATTTCACCTGTCTGAAACAACACTGGCTTTAACATTGCTCAAACAAGTTTATTTTGTTGTTGTTTTTAAAGAAAGTAATACTTTTATTCAGCAAGGGCACATTAAATTGATCAAGTGTCAGTAAAGACATTTACAATGTAAACAAAAGTTTATATCAAATAAAAGCTTTTTTTCTAACCTTCTGTTCATCAGAGAATCCTGAAATAATCACAGTTTCCACAAAATACTGTTAAATTGTTACCTTTTCATCCACTGTAAAATGCATTCCTTGCAGAAGACATGGTTGCATTTAAGTCGTACAGGGCAGCGTAGAACAGCTCTACAGATGACACAAATCAGATCATCATCTGGGGTATCCACAAACTGCTCCACTTCATAACCTCCAGTCTAATACCAAAATAAAATAAAAAAAAGTAATATATAATAATTTTATTTATATTGTAATGTCATATGGATGCTAGTATTATTACTAATTTTACTCAATTTAAATAAAACTATTTGAACTATTTAAAATCTATTTTTATATCATAAAAAAATTAATGTCACATATTATGAGAATTTTTAAGTTTAAGCTTGTGAAGTAAATATACATACATATATATATAATTTTTTCCCCCCACAAATTTATATAGTGTAATTAAAAAAGGAAAAACTCACCATTTTTACTTGTGAGGCCAGGGCACAGCTAATACAGATGCTGTATATGTTGAATAATTTGTAGTGGCCAAAAGACAGGCATCTGTCATAACAACACGCAGCAAAACGTCCCAAAGGAGATCACTTGACCCTGGATCATTCAGAAATGCATCGCAGATGTCCGATTTTCTCTTCTTTTCCATTCTAGCACAAGTAACAAATGTGGTTAGCACCTGACAACTTTTTTACACTAACCACTGGGACCCTATTTTGGTACCATCTAGGTTTTACTTATTAGACAAAGGCATTGCTATGGAAACCAGTGAACTTCAATGGCTGCCTGCTCTAGAATGAGCAGGCATAGTCTGAATGGCCAATGAACACACAGCAGCATTCTCTGCACAATAGAATATATTATAAATCCTTACCGGTATATGTGAAAATAATGTGTTAATAAACAGTGTCATACACTTTAACTGAATTTATGTCCCATACTTTAACAGTTAAACTAAATCAGTACCTATATTATTGGAAAGACTTTAGCAAAAGCTAAAGTTTTTTTTTTTACAATAAAGAAAACACCAGTTTGTACTGGTCACCATTCAAATATACAGGGGAGAATGGGGTAAGATGTGCTTTTTATGGATAAAATCTACCCTCATTACATAGTACACCATTGTCTTAATGTTTTTCATTGTATTTTTTGTACTCACTTGTTTACAGATTTAGCATATGATTATACTGGAATTTTTAATGTGGATAACAATTTAGAAAAATGTAAATATTTAATTTAAAAAGGATTCTAGATGAAACTTACAATCAAAACCACTGCAATTTCCAGAATACAGGAAAAACTGGAAGTGGAATAATCAATATAGTGAACGAATGTTGATATTAGGCTGCAAAGAAATGTACCTGTGCCATTCCATACTGTATTATCCTATGCAATGTTGACATAAGGGGAATTTGTCAGGAGAATCTCACTTTGTCCTCAAATACATGCACCATCTCTAGAATGATAATAATCAACAAGCAATAAAGGGCGACAAACTGTTTCTGAGAATGTCTGGTTTTATTTTTCATTTAAGGAAATGCAGCTTCCTATAAATACATCTCAGCCACTCCTTATGTTATTGTTAAAAGTTTATTAGCAGTAGCTGACTTTTTCATGTTACCGTCATAATTACGCAAGGGAACTTTCACAAAAACAAACTCAACTCTTTGATGATAATAATAATTAGACTCATATTCTTAAAATAAGCCTAAATATATAGTAGCATTGAGTGGAATAATTTATTTTGTTTTACTCATAACGTGGTCTACACTGACAGTCTCTGTAGAAATGTTTAATTGAGTGCTTGCTTCTGTACATATTACATAGTCTGTACATATTAAATTACCAGCTCCCATGAAAAAAGTCATGACATCAGAATTATTAAAATTAAGTTTGAAACATTTAGTGAAACTTGTGCAGGCATTAACACAAAAGTCCAATTTTTTTATTTTCCAGTATGGAATACCATTAGCTCCAGGACAAAAGATAACAGTCTGACTATAATGTTAATGAAAAAATAAAACTCTTTAAATATGTACAGTATACTGTAACTACCTTTACCAGGTTATGTATAATATATTTGATTAATTCAATATTTATAGTATTAATATAGCCCCACCAAGGATTAAAAGAGATTACAAAAACCTCAGATTAATATTGTGGTATCATACTCAAAGACAAAAAAAAAGGCATAAAAGGAAAGAGTCTCTCATTGTCATATGAACCCAAATGCTCTCTCACCTCTTTCATACTCTCACTTCATCTACCATGACTTCACTTTCAGGGGCCAGTCGAGCAGAGTTTGCCAGAGCAGCTTTACGAGTGTAGGCCGTGCAGCGACGTAGGATCTCCTGAGTTTGTGGTCTGGGTGGCACCCTGGGAGCTCCGACTCCTTTCATAGGGTGACCAGTGTCTGAGTTGGT